CTATGCATCTTAATGGGAATTGCTGTCAGCCTATCATAAAATATTTACATTAAGAATTTAATATATATATAATTGGAGGATGAAACCCTCTTTAATGGTCACAAATACATGCACACAGTGACCTCTGCATTTAACCCATCCTATTAGGAGCAGTATATAGTAATATTATATATTTTTGTAATAGAAATGTTAAAAGAATCGGTAATTATTAGACAATTCCTAATATTTAACTTAGCTTAAGTTTTTAAGATGAGACAAAGCTGTAAGAGTCCATAGCAAGGACACACATTTAAAAATGTTTTTGGGGTTTTGGAAATATATTAAACCGCGATTTTTGTGGACGCAACTTCCAACAGGAGTCAATTGGGGGGCTCTTGGGAAAAATGCTGCTCTAGACATTTAAAACAAATTAAAATGGGTGTTTTAGACTGTTTTTGAGCAGAAATAGGAAATTCAAAGCCGTCATCTTGATATTTAAGAAGTTCTGATGTGCAGGTTTTCATCGTTTTATTAACAATACAAATGTTTTTAATTGGAGCGTTAATTCATAGTTTACATCCCAGTTAGTAAAACTAGATTGATTAAAATATTATGTGATTATGTTTTCACTCGTTTAAAGTCACAATCTGACACACTTAGGATCTTAGAAACGGGAAGAACAGCACTCGGTGTGTAACTTTCAAAACACAGAGCGAGCCACGAGGAACTCCTTTAAATCCGGTCTCTAAAGTTTCACGGTCTGTGATTTGAGGACGTGGAGACTGACTGGATTTAAAAACACGACGTCAGGCCTCTGGCAGGAAGTTCAAAGAGTCTGCAGAGAGCCAAATCAGACGGTTAGATGTCTTAAATGTGGGCAGTAAAAACCAGATGTGTGCTATAAAGTAAAACCTTCTGAGAGTCTAAATGAGGAGTTCATTTCCACAGAGATTAAAAGATTAAGACGTCCTCGCTCTGTACTGTACGGTTAGAATTATCACAAGCGTTTCAAGTTCAGTCAAAGAGGTCCAATATGTCTCCATGCTTTAAATGTCAGCTATTATGCAAAATGCACCGTTTGATGTTTTTTATACATAAATGTGTGACAGGAGACTCACAGAGTGTCAGAAACAAACCCCTCCGTACCCACATCTCTAAAAACTGGGGAACAACGGAGCTGATCCAGATTTGCTGCGTCATGACGACATTACTAAAATGTGGGCGGGCTTTACACCCACGGGCCAATCAGAAACGTTGCTGTCAGAAACAATGAGACGTGTTCTGGAAGTAATATGGTCTGTGTTCACATTAGCATGCTAACACTCAGAGCTAACCTGTACTGGAGAGAGTGTGTGTGAAGAAGCAGGAAATCAAAAGGAACTCACCTTGTGGTAAACCTGAGAGAGAAAGAGTTTGAGCTCCAGACTGTTTCAGAAATAATCCTTTTTTTTTTTTGGGAGAGGTGCCTCAGTTGATTACATATGATCAAATTGAATAATTCAATGTATACGACAGGGCCATAGCTGAGTGTGTCAGGTCTAAAGGTGTGTGTTGCTCCGCTCACCGGTCCCTCACAGCGGGCAGAGCTGCTGATCTCTCTCTCTCGCGTCCGGTTATACTTCACTCGCGTTTATGTCCAAATCCATCAGATCTAGCTAGTTCTAGCTAATGCTATGGCTGCTGCCCCTCCATACACACAGATCACGCAGACTCAAACCTCATCTTAGGCCCACATTCCAGCTGAGAGGGTCTTCTCTACACCTGGCCTGATTGTGAATCGCCTCTCCGCTGAGTAGACATGCTCCTATTCTTAAACAAGAGTATTGAATAGCTGCATTCTGTGCATAGGCCCTGTTAGGGGTTGTTGATCTCTGTTGTCACGGGTTACGTTACCCTAACCCGTTATGTTGTTCGTGTTTGATCCCTCTTTCATTTAAAAACTAAGTTATGTTTTAAGCATGAAAGCTGCAGGCCTATAGCTGTCAACTGTTCAAACTGTGATCACCAGTTCAATACGTTTGACACATTCGACTTGGTTTCCGTACTTATTTGTATTTATTTATTTTTATGTCAACATTTTTCCCACATTCTTCTTTTTTTATAGGATATGTACATTTCGGTTAATCGGTTAACCGTTTTTTTGGGGGTTCAATATTCGAATATACATTTGCTTTCAAATTCCCATCCCTACTAATCACTTTGTTCTCAGTTCCTATTCCCCGTGTCTCACCTGTATGAGCGCGGACGAGGCAGGTGTGGGAGACGGAGAGACGACGAACCTCAGCCGGTTCTGTTTCTCCGGGTCGATGTCCACCAGAACCTCCCTCCAGCCTTTAGGCGTCCTCTAATCAAACAATAGACAAGTTAATGCAAACAAGTACTCATTTAAAAAGACCAACTCTGACAGGAAGAGTTTTACAGGCTTTAAATCAAACCTGAAATGTGTGGATGGGCAGAGCGTCAAAGAACTCGTGAGCGATAAAGATGCTGAAGCCTGAGAGAGGAAGAGAGACTGAGATTATTAACCTGCAGATACAAATATCTCTTATACGAATAAAATAAACAGGAACAAAATAATTGTTAAGCCCCGAGAGTGAAAAATCACTGTACAGACATTTTAGATTATTTTAGAAAATATATGTAAGTTAAAAAAATTGACTTTATTGTATTATTTCAAATTAACTTGACTTCAAAAATCCCATTATATTTCCCCCAGAAAAAAATGTTTCCCCAAAATTAAGTAGTTATTTTGGAAAAGTCACTTAATTTTTTTAAATATGATTCATCATTTTTCAAAGTCAGGTTAATTTGAAATAATACTTGTGAAAATATACCCTACCAATAAAGTTATTTTTAGAAAAATACCAAACATTTTGAAGATGACTTAATTCAAGAAAAATTACAATTAAAAATATTTCCTTAGAAAATTTGTTTTAAATGTGACTTTTCAACTCATTATTTACTTTTTTCTCAAAAAAACAACCAAACTTCTCACAAATAACAACAAAAATGTGTATTGTCTCTCTCACACATTAACCCAGGTAGCATCAGTGCTGCTCTCTACCTGCAGGCACGTCCTCCAGGCAGCGGTACCAGAACACCGGCAGCCCGGCGCTCGTTTCCCCTCGTCTGAACACCAGGTCGTCCTCGCTGCTCGACTCCACGCTGCTCCCCCCCGTCAGAGTCTGAGCCTGAATGCCACTCAGAGCCGGACTCACCTCCACCAGGTGGAGAGACACCGAGCATCCACCCAGCACCGACTTTAACTGGCTGAACACCTGCAGAGAGACAGGAAGTTATCATTACTGCACAGGTGAGGAGTTAAACACAGAGCTCTCACACACACATTTGAAGACTTTTTACTTTCTACTTCTCACATGTTGAACTCAAATACCTGTACTTTCTACTTCTTACATGTTGAACTCAAATACCTGTACTTTCTACTTCTTACATGTTGAACACAAATACCTGTACTTTCTACTTCTTACATGTTGAACACAAATACCTGTACTTTCTACTTCTCACATGTTGAACACAAATACCTGTACTTTCTACTTCTTACATGTTGAACTCAAATACCTGTACTTTCTACTTCTTACATGTTGAACACAAATACCTGTACTTTCTACTTCTTACATGTTGAACTCAAATACCTGTACTTTCTACTTCTTACATGTTGAACTCAAATACCTGTACTTTCTACTTCTTACATGTTGAACACAA